TGAGCTGTAATGCCATGGCACTCTACCCAGGGGGACAGCTTGAGGCTCTGTCTCAAAAAAAAAAAAAAATTCTTCAGCTCTTGGACTTAGGTGATTCTCTTGCCTCAGCCTCCTGAGTAGCTGGTACTATAGGTGCCCGCCACACTGCCTGGCTATTCTTTTCTTTTATTGCAGTTTGGCCGGGGCCGGGTTCAAACCCACCACCCTGGGTATAGGTGCCACCTTAATCAGCTTTCTTTAAACTCTTGATTGCCTATGCTTTTAGAAAGAAACAATACTGTGGAAACATCCAAGTCAGTGCCATTGGCTGCTGGGTGCAGGGTGCCTGTCAGTGATGTCAGCGCTGTCTTAGGCTCAGCATGAAGTTTGCTTGTGCAGTGACAGGCTCTCAGCTGGAGACTCCTTCCTGCTCTCAGCCTTGCCTTCTCTATGTCTGGCTGGTAGGCTGTAGGTTATGTGAGGACAGTAGCTGGCCATGAGCATGCGTGCGTTAGAGTATATTTGGAGGGAGGCTTTCCAGATAGAACTTTCTGGATCACCTAAGATCCTGGGTAGAAGAGGCCTTCACCATCTTCCCCACAGCATCCGGGCTCAGCTTCAGTTGAGTCAGTGTTCTGTCCCTAGTTTGCCTTTCCCAGTTTCTAGGTTTTTGTTTTAGATTTGACCTATGATTTACTGAAATCCAGAACCATGTTGTCTTTGTTTTATTTCTGTTCATCTATATGTAGTTTCTATCATAATATGTCAACAGGACATAAGCTGCTTAAATCAGAAAGGTGCCACTAAGCCATGTGCAGATGAAGGATTTAAGATTTAAAAAGGAAAAAACCAAGCAGCTGCAGAGATGTTGGGAAACTAGTTTTTCTCTTTCTTTGTTCATTTTTCTGCCTTTGTTACATGCTGTGATGCAGGCATTCCTCTTACTAAGCATCTGCTTTGTTCTCCGCTCCTGAAGCATATACTTAAATCTCCTTGGGCTTGGGAGCTTTTGAAATGTGGGACCTCAAAAGATTTCTCCATATTCAGCAAATTTGATAAACCAAAGCTTAATGGTGAGTATTTATTGAGGGTAATTTTTAGTGATTGGAGTCAGTTACATTCATGGGATGGATTTGACTATGACACTGGCTATTCAGTTCTACATTTCAAAAACTGTTTGTAGTATTTTCCAACCATATCTTTCATTTAAAATTAAGTGAACAGATATATGTGGACCAGAATTCATATTGAAATTCCACTTAATTGGTAATTGCTGAATTGGATTAATACAGCTGGAACGTTTAAATTTATAGCGTTTTCTGAAATCTGTTTTTTCATAGCATCCATTCTGGCCCTTGCTATACTGTGGTTATTCCCATGGGGAGGATGTAAAGGAGTGGGCTTTTGGTAGCATCCTGATGAAGTAATGAAACTAGAAGACACTTGCTTTTCATAGTTACAAGCACAGCATAAGGGTAGGAGGGGAGAGCACAGTTTTAGAGCACCAGCATTTGTTGGAAAACACACTGGCCAAATATAGGAAGTTCTCTTGCTTATTAGCCAGGATCAGAGTTGGCCTCTGCTTATTAGCTGCTACTCAGGGCTGTTTTAGGGAGCCATGCTGCATCTTCTCTGATAAGCTTTGGCGAAATGTCATTCTGTTCAATTCCAAAAGCACAGTCATGTTATTTCTGAATGCCACACTATACACTGGCACTCACGGGGAGAGCAGCCAGCCGTGGTAGAGAATTCTGTTTTCTCTTGCATGCCTTTTTTCTGCATTGAAATTATTAGCTTTGTTCCTCTCTGTGAATTTTAGGAATTAGGATAAGTAAATATTCTTTTTACCATTTTTAGCAAAGCTAAAAAGTAATATGATATTTTAAGATGACATGTTTCTGAATGTAGCTAGATTAAGACAAATGATTTTTGTTTTTGAAACCTAAATGTTTATAATCTTCTCTATTCTGGGGGGAATTTGAGGGTATATCCCAGGAACCTTCAGTGTCAGGCACGGTATTCCAGGGCCCAGGGATGCAGAGGTGATTAAGATATAGCTCCTCAGCTTGGGCAACATAGCAAGACTCTGCCTCTAAAAACAATTTAAAAAATAAATCAGCCTGGCATTGTGGTGCACGTCTGTAGTCCCAGCCATTTAGGAGACTGAGGCAGGAGGATTGTTGAGGTTGTATTGAGCAATGAGTGCCACTGCAGTCCAGCTCGGGTGACAGAGTGAGATCCCGTGTCTTTAATACAACAGACAGACAAAATGAAGTTCCTGCCCTCCTGGGTACCTAAAAAAAAAACCCAGAAAAACAAAAACAAAAACTTTGGGCTGTAGCAGCACTCTTAGCTGCTTAGGATGGAGCATGTCAGATGTGGCAGTGGCTGGTATGGGAACACAGATGGCTTTTTGAGAAGGGATTGGGATGTTTGACTGGGCCTTCAAAGAGTATCTGATTTCAGTAGGTAGCAAAGGAGGAAGGAAGGCCGTTTTCAGGTGGAAAGCCCCACACATGCAGGGAGGTTTATAGAGTGTGGGCAAGAAGGGGTGCTGCAGGTGACAAAGCAGAGACGCTGTCAAGGTCTGTACCTGTCAGGCTAGGGAGCCTGCATATTATCCTTCAGACAGACCTCTAAGGAGGCTGAGCAAGGAGATGATATGATGATTTTATTTTAGGAACATAACTAGTGGCAGTTAGGATGATAGGCTGAAGGAAGAGGTCAGGCTGAATGTGGGGAAACAGAATAAAAATGTGTTGTCAAGTGCGAAGAGAGCTAATGCGGACTGAAGTTTGTCAGGAGCTGTGGGGAAGGAGATACTTCAGAGGTAGGATCCCAAAACCTCAATGCCATTTAAAAGCCAGGGTGACAGGAGTGGCAGTGTATGATAACAGAACAGTGGCATGTGCCATACCCTGTGCTGAGCCCTTGTCAAGTGTCATCCTAGTTAATCCTCACAATTCAGTGAATAGATACTACCATCATTCCCATTCTGCAGAAAACTGAGACTTGGGCAGCTAAGGCCATTTGTCCAAGGTCACATGTGTAGAAGTAGTACAGCTGGCTTAGTGCTTGTAGCTCAAGCAGCTAAGGCACCAGACACATACACCAGAGCTGGCGGGTTCGAATCCAGGCTGGGCATGCCAAACAACAATGACAACTACAACCAAAAGAAAGAAAAAAATAGCTGGGCATTGTGGTGGGTGCCTGTAGTCCCAGCTACTTGGGAGGCTGAGGCAAGAAGAGAATTGCTTAAGCTGAGGAGTTTGAGGTTGCAGTGAGCTGTGATGCCATGCCACTCCACCTAGGGCAACAGTTTGAGGGTCTGTCTCAAAAAAAGGAAAAAAGAAAGAAAGAAAAGAAACAAAAAGAAGTAGTGTAGCCGAGAGTCAGACTCAAGCAGTCCCCCTCCCCCTGCCGCTTGGTAATACTGAGGGCTGTTTGGAAAGGCAGTGGTGGGTGGTAGTGCCTTTGACCAAGTTTGGGAAGATAATGAGCCAAGTTTTGCACCTTATCTCTAAAGTCTTTATGGGGTATTGGGTGGAGCTTTCCAGGACTCCGCTATGGGAGGACATAGAATCAGATGGGAAGTGAGAAAAGGAATTGCCTAGGGAACGCCACCACTTGGGAGTTAGGTGGCAGAAGAAATGCCAGGGAAAGAGATTGAGAAAGAGCGGAGAAGAGAGAAGCCAGGAGGGTTGTTGGGAGAGTTTCAAGAGATGTTTAAGTCACACCCCCAGCTTAACACATCCCTATTGTTTTTTGTTCTTTTTGTTTGAGACAGAGTCTCACTATGTTACCCTCGGTAGAGTGCAGAGGTGTCACTGCTCACAGCAACCTCAAACTCTTGGGCTTAAGTGATTCTCTTGCCTCAGCCTCCCAAGTAGCTGGGACTACAGGCACCTGCCACATTGCCCAGCTATGTTTTTGTTGCAGTTGTCATAGGTGAGCAGGCCAGGGCCAGGTTTGAACCCACCAGCCCCAGTGCATGAACCCACCAGCCGCCGTACCTACTGAGCTACAGGTGCTGAACCACACACATCTCTATTGTTAAGGGACTAATTGCTGCCATTAGTGTTGGCATATGTCTTTATTGATTACTAAGAGATTTATTTAATTTTTCTTGTAATCTAACTACCTTATAGGGCCCTAGCTGTCATGCCCTTCTCCCCCATAGCTGTGTGTGGTTGTGTAACCAGTGCAAGCAGCAAGCCTCCCAAGGGGCCCGGCTCTGAGCTGGCAGAATCAGAAAGTCAGAGAAGGTGAGAGTTGACAGGCTTGTGTAAATAGGAAAGGTAGGAGACAAAAGCAGAGCCCATTCTTGGCATTTAGTTTTTGAATCTTTGTTGTTTGTGTGTGTGCTTTTTAAAAAATTGCTTAGAAATTTTTTTACAGTTTTAAAATACTGAACAAAATCCTAGTTCTTTTTTGTGACACTGAACTAATAGAACTAAGGCTTGCTGTAGGTACCAGTCTGTTTTGTTTATTCTATTCTGTTCTAGACCCCTGACTTGGAGCAGCTAGAGCCGTCTTTGGAGGATGTGGAAAGCATGAATGACCTTGACCCCTTGTTTTCAGAGGAAACACCTGAAGTGGAGAAGCCGGTTGCCACTGTCCAGGTCTGTCTCCTGCAGCTGTACTGTGCTTGTGCTTTGAAGCCATTGACATACTGGCTGGGCTAGTCTAGTCTATTTCTTTAGGACTATCTTTTTTTTTTTAATCTCAGTCATGCTTTCTAGAAAAGGGGCACCAATACTTAAAACATCTGAAGTCAGGGTTTTTCCCCCTAGTTATTGTTTGAGGTTCCAGCAGTAAGAGTAAGTGAATCTGTGAGAATCTGCCCAGCAGAAACATTTGGGGAAATAATTGGGAACTTTAGCTCTGAAGAATGGCTTTTAATGGTTTCATTTACATTTAAGCCAGTGTGTCCTTGTGCTTAATCGGCATTGGGGTCCATGTTTCTGTCATTATAGTGGTAACCAGGTGAACCTTCATAAGTCAGAGGCCTGCCTGGGAGAAAGGGGAGGGGGTGCTAGGTCAGGCACGGAGCAGGAGACTTGTTTTCTATGCTGGGAGTTTTCACTGCTGCTCTCCACGAAGTCTCTTTCCCTACAGTGCAGGGACCATTTCATGATGTAAGTGTGTAGGTGTTTATAATTCAGAGGTTGAAAGAAGGTGGGAGATTAAATTATCGAGTCAAGAGAGTTGGGGAGAAGGTATTCTGGCATGAACAAAGGACAGAAACTATTTTGGAATAAGAAATATGGTTTAAGGAAACTGGCAACTGGAATGTTTATCATTATGGCCTAAAAATATCTTTCAAACCTTGGGTTTTTAAAGCCCGTGTTTAACTTGGCAGCATATCATCAGCTGTTTGTTGGGACAGAAAGAATTCGAGCTCCAGAAATTATTTTCCAGCCATCTCTCATAGGAGAAGAGCAGGCCGGGGTTGCGGAGACTCTTCAGTACATTCTGGACAGGTGAGACGGTGAAACTTCTTTTCTTTGTATTTTCCTGAATCTTTTCCTTTGATTTTGCATCAGATGGTAGATCTGATGGACAGGCATTTTGGAAATCCATCTCGCCCTCTTTTTTTTTTTTCCCCACTGACACAGTGAACTCTGATTGTATTATTTTGTCTCAGTCTCCAGGCCTGGCACCTATTTGGGGCTGTTGGTATTGTTTTCTGAATCTGTAAATGCTCATTTGATTTGAGGAGCTGTAAGAGTTTAAGTTGAACAACATGATAATGTCCTGTGGCTTTCATGTAAAGCTTCACATTATTGAAGACTAGTGATTTTAAGTCACACTCAACATACTACAGAGCTTTTAAGTTTTTTCCTGCCTTCCGTACATTTTACTTACTAAAGGGTTTACATTTCTGTGAGAATGCACCTCCCTTCACCTGTTCATGAAAGCAGTTGCTGCAGCGTGAGGTTTTGTAATTTAAGTTGGATAGGTTGGCTGCTGTTGGCTTATAACAGGATGGAAATTTGCACCTAGCAAGGAAAAAAAGCTTTTGCAGCTTTGAGTGGCTTTGAACTTTTTCTTAATAGTGGGTGGGAAAGTGATCCTACATGTCTTAAGATAAAGCTGTTATTAAAAAAGAAAAAAGTTGGCTTGGCGCCTGTGGCTCAAGCGGCTAAGGCGCCAGCCACATACACCTAAGGTGGCGGGTTGGAATCCCCAGCCCGGGCCCGCCAAACAACAATGATGGCCGCAACAAAAAAAAAAAAAAAAAAAATTGGCCAGGCGTTGTGGCGGGCGCCTGTAGTCCCAGCTACTTGGGAGGCAGAGGCAGGAGACTCGCTTGAGCTCAGGAGTTGGAGGCTGTGAGCATGATGCCATGGCACTCTACCTAGGGGGATAGCTTGAGGCTCCGTCCCAAAAAAAGAAAAAGAAAAAAGTTGGCCGGGCGAGGTAGCTCACGCCCGTAATCCTAACACTCTGAGAGGCTGAGGCGGTGGATTGCCTGAGCTCACAGATTTGAGACCAGCCTGAACAAGAGCGAGACCCCATCTCTAAAAATAGCCAGGTGTTGTGGCAGGCACCTGTAAAACCAGCTACTTGGGAGGGTGACGCAAGAGAATTGCTTGAGCCCAGCAGTTTGAGTTTGCTGTGAGTTATAATAGCCATAGCAGTCTGCCTAGGGGGACAAAGTGAGACTCTGTCTCAAAAAAAACAAGGAACAAAAAATAAAAACGTGTATTACAAAAGTATAAACATTCTAATCACATTAAGGAAATGAGTTAACCATTTGAATTAAGGCTTTAACTAGCTATTTGGAAACATTTTGTCTCAGTCTCCAGGCCTGGCGTTGACTGAGACACAAATGAAAAGTGAAAGTTGTTTTTTTTTTTTAACTTTCTGTGTAGGTGTTCTCTGTTTTGTGCTGAGAGCTTACCTTTCTACATCTGCGTTCCCTTCTGGTATTCAAGTTGGGGGGACTCTACCAGAAGGAATTGTTTCTTTCCTAGGTACCCAAAGGATGTCCAGGAGATGTTGGTTCAGAATGTTTTCCTCACTGGTGGGAACACCATGTACCCTGGGATGAAAGCCAGAATGGAGAAGGAGCTGCTGGAGATGCGGCCCTTTCAGTCTTCTTTTCAGGTACTGATTGTTCATGGGTCCAACTGGTTTGAAAATAGCATTAATTGTTTTCTGCTTGCAAAAGTAACAAAGTATAAAGGAGAAAAATTACCGTATATTTTCCAGCTTGCAGAGATATCCATTGTCAACATTTTTGTGGCTTTCCTTCTGGTCTTGAGTCCACGTTGAATTTTTAAAGCAGAATGGGAATCATGTTTTATGTACTACTTTCGGTTTTTTTTTTTTAATTGGAAAAGGAAGATATGCATATAGTAAAATTCAAAGACTACAAAAGAAGAGTACATTAAGAATGAGTCATTCAGCCCTGTCCCCCATCCTACAGACAGAGCTTTTCGTTCATAAGTCCTATACACATGAGAGTGTGTTACTGCTTTGTAAACTGAGTTTTCTTAGCTGTTGTGAACATTTCAGAAATGAACATGTCATTGTTCTTCTAAAAGATTGTATGGAATGGATGCTCACAGTTTATCTACCAAATTGCTGATTACCAAGAAACATGTGCTGATTTCCCAGCATGGGTCAGGTGCTGTGGGATGCTGCAGTGCCCTGGGTGCAGTTCCTAACTGCAGGGACCTTAGTATCTGAGGAGGCAGCACCCAAGTAAACAGGCTGAGCTGCCCCGAGTGTGATGGCTGTACAGGCAGAAGTGCCTACTGGTCTCCATTGGCATTCAGAGAAGGCTTCATGGAACTGGAACTTGTAAGATTGCATGGGTGCTTGCCATTTAGACAGTGTAATGTCAGTAGATTGGAGAGAGCATTCCACCCAGAAGGACTAGTACAAGCAAAGGCACAGGGGCCAAAAGCTTGCTGAGGGAGTGCAAAGTGGCTGAATATGGTGGACCGTGGAGCAGCTTAGGGGAGAAGGGGCAGGTGAGGTGCAGAGGTCAGCAAAGCCCACACCACATAGTGCCCCTGGGTCCTGCTGAGAAGGTAGCCATAGTCCACTTTGCTGCATGACAGTCTTGACTCTGTCATCATCATTACTGAATTTTGCTAAGCCTCAGTTTTCTTTTTTTTGAAGGGTTGTTTTTTTTTTTTTGTCTGGGGCTGAGTCACCTCCAGTATATGGGGCTGGCAGCCTACTCCTTTGAGCCACAGGCACCACCCACTAAGCCTCAGTTTTCTTACTGGTAAGGGCGTAATCACCTGCTGGCAGATTGGGTGTACTGGTGCATGCCACATGCTCAGCTTGGGGCTTGCCTGTAATGAATATTCAATGTTAGCTTTTGTGTTGGGGGCTCCTAAAAACCATTCCAGGAACATTATTTGCTAGGAGGATTCATAAGATTCTGTGAAATCATATTTATGGCTACAATTTATTATAGTGAAAGGATATAAAGCAAAATCAGCAAAGAGTACACGGGAGAAGCCTAAGGAAAACTAGGTGCAAGCTTCCAGAGTCCTCTCCAGTGGAGTCACACAGGACATACTTAATTCCCCCAGCAGCAAGTTGTAATGTGTGGGATGTTGCCAACCAGGAAGGATCATTAGAGACTAAGTGCCGAGGGTTTTTACGTGGGGTACATCACATAGGCACCTCCTGCTTGGAGCAGACTTAAATTCCAGGCTCACAGAAGAGAAAGCAGGTGTTGAGCATAAACCACATTGTTTGTACAAACAGGCACAGAGAGCCACTCTTATCAGGTAATTAGGGGAGCCCTCCCTAAATGAAGTTCCTAGGACCAGCCTTAGACGCGCATAAAAGATGGGCCATAGGTCTGCTTGGGCCGTAGTGAACCAGGAAGGAGTCTAAGCAGAGAAGTCGTGTGATCCCGTTTGCATTGTAGGAAGATATTTCTGGCACTCGTGTGAAAAAATGGAATATCAAGAGAAATATTAGAAGCGGGAGACTGGTTAGGCAGCTCTCCAGCCTTTAGCAGGAGGTCCTCACTCTTCTCCACTTATCACAATTTGCAAGGTCCCTTGTGATCTGTGATCTGACCTTGAAGAATCACTCTCTCATCACTCGGCTTCTGACTTGTATTTCAGCCATAGGTAACTGCTATTAGTTCTCAGAAATGCCTTTTTTTTTCCCGCCTCAGGGCTTTTGACATACTTTGCATAGAATATTCTTCCTAGCTCATTCCAATTCTGGTTTCAGTGTCACTTTTTCTAAGAAGATTTCCCTGTCCTTAACCTATGTTCCTTACTAGACCCATCTCCATTAGGGAAGGGACAGCAGCTGTCTTGTGATATGTTCCAAGCCCCTGGCACTGTGTCACTTAGTAGCTATGCAGGAACTGTGAAGGCAGTGGTAGAGGGAGTTGATATGAGGGAGAGTAAGAGAGGAAAATGATCAGAACTGATAGTAGATTGGATTTGGGGAGAGAAGAGGGACCTTCATCAACTCCCAAGTTATAGGTGGAGCAACTAATTTGATAAATATGACATTCACTGAACTAGGAACCATGGGAGGAAGAATAGACTGGAGGGGAGGATAGTATATTCTGTTTCTAGGGTGGATTGAACTGAGTTTCCAGTGGACACACTGGAGGAGGAGGCCATAGCAGGCTGGTAAGTGCTCAGGGGAAGGTGGAAGGGTGGCTTCCCATCCGCTTTTGTGAATGTGCTTGTAGGCCCTGCTTGGGATGGCAGGTAAAGTCAAGGATTAAGCCTTAAAGGACACCACACGCATGTGTAAGGGTGTAGGATGCTCAGGATGCAGTCTAAGGAAGGCTGTGGAAGAGGCGGAGGAGGTGGGGAGGAGGTGGGAGGGGAACCAAGGGAGCAGCAGCACCAGCGGGTGATGTTGGGAATCGTGAGGGAGGGGCTGAGTCACACTGGCAGGACAGACTTGGGTTGAAGTAGTCAAGAAAAAAAATCCTAGAGGATTTTCAAGATCTGTTTCTTGGTAATCCCTAAGGCCTTGATCATAAATTTCTGAGTGAGTGCTGGTATGGAGGAACACTGCTGCCACACCTCCTCCAGGCCTGGCTTGGGGCTGTTCCTGTTCCAGGAGGCCTAGCCCAGCTGGCCCCACCATCCTGCTCCCTTTGATGTTGCTCAGGCAACGAGCGTGTAGCAGCACCACTAGCTCCGGATAGCCCACTGTAAAGCTGTGTATCTAGCAGTGCCTCAAGCATGGGATCTTTAAGAGGTAGAGAGCCCCAAGATTCACAGTGTTTACAACTGCCTTAAAAAGGTAGTTTCTGTTGTTTTTTCACAAACAGTGAAACATTTAAAAAATTACAAAAACATCAGGCTATTTTAGTAAGCCAAAATGAAAACTGAAAAATAATTATAATTCCAGCCTCTGAGAGGAATGTTCTGTGTATGCTTTCTGATTGGTCTTCTCATGTAGGATTTTAACCAAAAAAAAAAGAGAGAGATTGTTGAAAGCTTGTTTTGTAGCCTGTATTTTTTTCTCTTTCAAGTTATTGTGACAGTTTTCTATATTGATAGGTACATTTCCAAAGCATGTTTATGGCTGTATAATATTCTGCTAACCATACACCTTACTGCATTTTTATCAGTAATAGTGATGGCTACCATCTATTGGACACTCTGTACCAAGAAGTATGCTAAGTGCCTAATATCATTCTCTCACTGACTCCTCCCATGGGGCTTCCTGTACCCTAATCTTGTGATGAGGTCCCTGTTCACACGTCCCAGTCTGTATGGTAGCCCTGGGCAGTCGGGCAGACTCCTAGGCTTACACTTTTTTCACCTCTGTTCTTCTCTATGTGTGTGGTTCCTCTTTGTGTGGCCTGTCTCTCCTTTACTTCTTCAAGTTCTAAAACCACCATTCTAAGTGGGAATTTGTGTAGTTGGACGAGGGAAGGAGATGAAAGGGAGGCGGGAAGTGGGGCAGGTGAATCTGGAACTCAAAAGGCCAATTTGAAGCTACAGAACGTTATCTGAATGGTGAGGGCAGCCTCATCCAGGGGTCCTTACAGAGGTTCTGACCCCCGTCACCCTTGGTAATAAGCAATGGGAAGTGAGCCCTGGCAGACTCACAGAGAATGCCCAGGTCACCCCTCTCTTCTGTCATTCCTCCTGAGACTCTTCTTGCTGTCTCACCAGAGCCACCTCCCATCAGCCTCTGCTTTCTTCTGCTCATGGAGAGGAGGGGAACGGGGCCAGGAGGGCCTGTCCTCAAGGTCAAGCTCCAGCCTCCACTTAACCACTTAACCTCTCCTCTCCCACCAGCGTGTGTGGTTGGCAGCATCATGGAGCAGGAGGCTGGGTACCTGGCCCTCCTGACCCAGAGTGGCAGGTCGTGAGGTCGAGTGTGGCGTGCGTTGCGTTCTTCCCTGCTGTCCCGGAGCGTCTGGGCATTCCAGCTGTGCATTATTTGGAGGGTGCAGAGAGAGTCCTGCCTGCCTTGTGTTTCTGGGGATAAGATGCAAGGGGCTGTAGCTGAGCCTGCTGAACATTCCCTCCTGAGCCCTGGTGGGAGACGTCCTCCTGGTGAACACACTCTTTGTGTTGCAGGTTCACCTTGCCTCGAACCCTGTGTTGGATGCTTGGTACGGTGCCCGTGACTGGGCTTTGGAGCACCTAGATGACGACGAAGCCTGGGTCACCAGGAAAGAATACGAAGAGAAGGGAGGAGAATACCTCAAGGAGCACTGTGCCTCCAACGTCTACGTTCCCATCCGCCTGCCAAAGCAGGCATCCCGCTCCTCAGAAGCCCAGGCATCCAGCAAGGGTCCAGGCGCTGGTGGGAGCGGTGCTGGGGAGCAGGCATAGTGGGGGCACTCTGGGGAAGCTGCCCTGCACAGTGCCCTTGGGCCACTGCAGCTGAGTGACAGGACAGTGGCTGCACATGGTAGATGCGCCCAGCCCGAGTCTACTGGTCACATTTGGCTACACAATGGATTTCTCCTGGGGAGAATGAAGTTAGGGATGTAGGTAGCTGCCCTTTAGAATTATATTCATTGGGAGCTTCTGCAGTGAAGAAACTGAGGGGCCTTCTGTGCCTCTGTTGAACCAGGCGAGCTGCGGCATCAGCTTCCTACAGCAGTAAGTGAAGATGGCGTGGAGGACAGAGACGTGCAGGATGCACAGGACTGGTTTCTTACTGTGGTTTTTGTTCGTTTAAAAAAAATCTTTTAAAATTTATTCTGTCAGTGTAGATATTTTGTTCTTTTACGTTTGTTCAGACATTCCATGAATGTCCAGCAGAGGGAGGTCTTTAATGTCTATAGAAAAGTAATGTTCATTGCTGGCTGCACTAGTGGGCACCCGTAATCCCCTCCGTGGAGGCTGAGGCAGGAGGATCGCTTCACCTCAGGAGTCTGAGGCTGCAGTGCACTCTGAATAGCTGCTGCACTCCAATAACAGTGCTGGGCAACACAGACCTTCTCTCTAAAACTTTTATTTATTTTTTTTAATTTTTAAAAAGAGATATTGTTAGGCCAGGTACAGTGGCTCAACATCTGTAATCCAAGCACTCTGGGAGGCAGAGTGGGTGGATTGCTTGAGTCAGGAGTTTAAGACCAGCCTGAGCTAGAGCTAGACCTCATCTCTAAAAATAGCTGGGCATTGTGGCAGGTGCCTGTAGTGCCAGCTACTTGGGAGGTTGAGGCAAGAGGATCGCCTTAGCCCAAGACTTTGAAGTTGCTATGAGCTATGAAGCCACAGCACTCTACTGAGGGTGACAAAGACACTGTGTCTCAAAAAAAAAAAGTGTTTATGTAATAAAACAGTTGCTCATGAAATCTTGGGAGCCAAAAGTATTTCCCTTTTGCTATTACTTCCCTTGCAAATAAGGAGAAAAGACCCAGAAAGGGTCACCAACTTGTACAGAGTCTCTCTGCTGGCTGAGGACATACTGGGTGCCCAACTTCTGTTCATACTGTCTTTGCTGGAAGCTTTTCCACCACATGAGGCCTCGTTACAAATGTTTTGTTTCTGTCCCTGCGACTTTGTTGACTCTATAACTTTTTTATACCTTTCTGAAGAAAGAAACAGACTGGAGAAGGTTAATCCTGTAGCTTTTTGGGGTTTTGCCTTCCCTGTACTCTTGAAGCTTCATCTGAAATGAACAAATAACTACCTTTTTACGAAGATTGCCTGGTGAGGATTTTAGCTCCCAAATACCAAGAATTGAGCCCAGAAGGTCCCTGAGCTGCAAATGTTTTTGTTATTACTTAAATCGCATGGAACCTCTAGCTCACGCATCTGACAAGACCTCCGCAGAACGTGCTTGCTCTTTCAGTCTACCAAAGGGAATCTCCTGGATCTCTGGCTTTCAAAGGTTTAGAAACTGCAGGCCTGGAGGGGACAGTGGTGTTGAGAAAGTAGAAGACCCAAGCTGGCTCAAGACCTCTCAAGACATTGCTCGTGAGCCACTGGCTGTCCGTGGCTGGGCGCAGGGACTAATGAGTTGATGAGGGGCATGAGCTGTTTAGAAAGGATAGTGTATGAACACAGGCCCAGTCTCCATGTGAGAGGGGAGGGGCTGTGCTAACTGCTGCCAGCCCCAGGGTCTCTCCCACAGCCCACAGTTTAAACAGCCTACACAGCAGTGGTGAGGTCAAAAGACTGCCTTGGAGGTCAAGCCCTGACGGAGAAGGACCATGGGTTGGGCAGGTGAACTGGGCACCTGATGGCCAAATAAGCAGAAAGTTGGACCTGCTCAGGGTTGTAGATTGTAGGTTAGGGGCTGTGGTGAGGGATAGGACAAGGGGCTGAGCAGTGAGTTCTCCAGTTGCACCTCTTAGTCCCCACCCTACATACACCGTGACTCCATGATGCCTTTGCTGGGCAGATCCTTCCCCCGTACAACAGGTAGGAGTTTGTTGCCCATGGGTTCCCTCAGCCTTCACACAGATCAGCAGAGCACTCACCACACCTCCTTGGTCTCTTCTAAACTAATATGATCCCCCCCAAACAGATGTTTCATTGAGCTTGAGGCATCCAGAACCCAGAGCTAGACTTAGAGGGTGGTAGGGGCTCACCAGGATTCCAGACTCTGGTCTCCAAACTTGGGAGAGGGTAAGTTTTTGTTGTGTTAACCACTAAGTTTGTGGTTGTAGCAGCCCTAGGGAATGAATACAGACGGCCAGGCTGAGTCTGAGCACAGGAGGAAGTGACTTGGAGCAGAGCAAGTGCTCACAAAACGTAGGTGACAGTAAAGGTTTGCCTCGGGTGAGCTGGCCCTGCAGTGAGGAGTAAAGGGATTAGGCTTTGAAAGTGCGCAGGACCAGAGCTGGCAGTCTTGGGAAGGCCCGTCTAGGAGTGACAGAGCACCTTGGAAGCCAGAAGAGGTGTAAAGGGGAGACAAGGAAGGGCCTGGTGATGGGAGACTTAAGAAGCAAAAGAGAATCAGAGGACGCCAGACCACAGAATGTGTCCAATGTGTGTTGAAGAACCTGTTTTTCACTATAGCAACAGAAGAGGGAGCCCTTGAGAAACATGGACCATAGCCCAACCCCTTCCTGCCCCAATTCTTTATCCATACCATTCTGTTAATAGTTATTTAGATAAACCTGGTGTGCTCAGGTATGAACGTTAATAAAACATAAGCATCCTTATGGGGATACTGGAAGGCCAAACCCGGATAATTCAAATTAAAACTTCTTAGCAGATAAAACTTGCCCCCTCCAGCTACTGCAAGGCAGAAGCAAAGTATAATGCAACATTCCAAAGTGAGCTTAGAAGAATTAGACAAAGCAGATGTGAAGACACCACTCAATAAATGGAAAGCATTGAGATGACCAAACGACAGATTTGAAAGGTGAACTGACGGAGCTCAGGAAAGAAAATCAGGAAAAAGAAAAAGTATCTCAAACCTCAGTTTAAGACACCCCAGGGAGAAAGTATTCAATTGAAAAAGGAAATCTAACCAAAAAGAATATAGTTGATGAATAAAATTCAATTGCGTTGAATTCTTTTTAGACAAAATTTACTGTCTTTACCGTTTTTAAGTGTCCAGAATAGCAGTGTTAACTCTGTGAACATTATTGGTCCACCGATCTCCAAAACTTTCTCCTCTTGCAAAACAAACGAGACTCTCCCAAACTTCTTTCTCTCATACACATCAGACAATGGGTTCTCTCACACTCATCTCCTTTCCCCCCAGCAATCGCCATTCTACTTTCTAAGAGTTTGGTTAGACAGCTCATAGGAGGGAAATTGTATAGTGGGTGTGTGTCTGTTTGGTGGCCTATTTCACTCGGTGTAATGTCTTTAAGGTTCATCCATGTTCTGGCATGTGTCAGAATTTCCTTCCCTTTTTTTTGGCCAGGGCCAGGTTTGAACCTGCCACCCCCAGGATATGGGGCCAGCACCCTACTCTTTTTTTTTTTTGAGAC